TTCCGAGCATTTTATTGCGATAAAGGGTCGTCGCTGACACGATTCGAAGAAATGACTTCGATTGTATCAGATTATCTACGTTATGCTTTGGACGAGTATTAACTGATTGCTAAAGGAATGATACAGTGATAAATATGATTGCAAACATCAATATGCAAGCTGCCTAGAACGACAATAATTGCAGATCAATCTGCGATGAAAGCATTGGAAACCATTGAAAATACATTCAGCGATTAGTTGGTTGTCTTATCTAATACTTCGTGGAGAATTGTTTTCAAATAGCTGATCTCCTTGCTCAGACCGGCCACCTGCGTCTTAAGTTCCACGTTTTTCAACTCCAAATCGTGCAGTTCCTGTTTTTTACGTTTCGCTTCTTCACGACGCTTATCTGAAGACAACGGCAACTCATAACGATTCCGGTTATACTACCTGATCTGGTAGAACAGTGCAAATTCAGTAGCATATACACCTACATTACACGGCACAACTGAATAGAAGCATTTACTTCGCTCGATATAATCAATCTGTATGATTGGAACATTACAACTCTGGATTACCGAAGCACTGGATATAGCAGACCTCATAGTCAATGTAATTAGATGCTTACGATCATTTTTTCAAAATGGATTTCGGTATTACTGAATGAATTGTATGTTTGCAGTATGGAATATAAGAATACCTCTGTATCTTATTGCCGCAGAACGATTCTGCTCACGTTTGCGTTCGCTTATATGCGGACTTGTGGACGAACATCTGCTGGCTAATGGTGAGTTCGTGGTTCGTGCAAATTCACTACTTGCACTCTTTTGGCTCGATCTCGATGCACTCCTCACATATCCCCTATGATCCGTAACGTTGTCATCAGATGATAAATACGGCTCGTCCTCTGATGAATCGTAAAGATACGGATAAGAATGAAGTTTTTTGTTACGAACATTGCAAGATGCCTTAATTACCTGCAACCATCACCAACAATAATACTCCTTGCAGCATAATTATTCATTACTGAGTCAATTTTATTCTCTCGAAGTGACTATTTTGAGTGTTGTTTTGTAGGAGTTTAGTAAAATAGTTAAGGCATTTCTTGAGGAGATTGAGTGTGCAACCACCGA